AAAAAAAAAAAAAAAAAAAAAAAAAAAGATAAGTTAAACGGAAGTTTTATACAACTCTTTAAATACGATACATACTATTGACTTTAGCGGACGAACTTTGCAAATGATCAATTGATCCAAGTAAAACTATAATAATATATTGTTTTGGTTCTCTTGTTGATTTTAAATTTTTAAGGCAACACTTATGTAACAGATCGAAAATATAAATTTTGATCGACAAATCTTCCAAAAAATCTTTAAATTATGGTTTTTAATTAAAAGAACACACAATAAGAAAATAACCAAAACAATTTTTTTAAAGAGATAAAACATGTTTAGATCTTTACTCTACATATATATAAATCAATATTCAAATAAATGATGAAAAACTATTTTAAAAAAAAAAAATTTATTTTGAAATCTGAAAATTTGTTGTTGACTTCTGTTAAAAAATCATTATTTTAAAGGTTAATTATATATATTCTAAAAACCCCTAAATTCCACCCTGAAAACCAGAGGCGGATGAAGCATCATATTCAGACCGGGGCACAACATTATATTTCATTATGCCTATTTAGTATTATTGAACATTTCCTAAATTGAGAGTAAATTACTAAAGAAAAATAAAAATTAGATAGGGTCACGTGACCCCGTTCCTCTCCACTTGCGTCCGCCACTACTCAAAACTAGAATAGTTACTCCTATAAGTATAAATGTCTTTTACCTCTTTGATAGAACATATTTTTGGTCGTTCTCATATGCTATATCTATGATAAAAAATTTAATGTTATTCTAAACTATTTTTTTTTTTTAAATTATAACTATTAAAATCTGAGAAATATGTGAAAGAAGTGAAATCTTGAGAGAAGGTGACAATTAAGATTGAAACTAAATTTGACTTATGCTAAAGGAAATTGAGGTTTAGGGTTGGCAAGAGTTCAGGAAAATAAAACAAAAAACGTAGAGTAGAAAAAAATATAAAAGAGAAAAGTATAAAAAAATATGACTTACAGAAGAAATACACTAATTTAAAACTGAAGTTAGTGAATGAAGTGAGAGAAATGAAGTGAGAGAAATGAAGTGTTTATCATTGGTAAAACATCAATTCAGAATGAGAAACTGAATGAGGTGTAAACTCATTTTATTTTTTCAAGAAACTATTAGAAGTTTGGCTTGAGCATTTGGGTATTCAAGCTGGTTCAACAAAGAATTCTATTAGAGTGATGGTTTGTTATGGTTTAATGTATTATACTGGTTACCTTATTCCGGCTAACTAGAGTCTATATAAAGAGTTATACATTATAACAAAAACTTTTAACAAAAATAAAAGATTATATTTTGATCGTAACAAACTCTCTTCATCTCTCTCTTGGTACTCAAGTAATATGGTATCAGAGTGTTGAATCAAAGTTCAACAAATATGATCTGAGCTTTCATAATCATCAAGCTCCATCGTTCCAACTTCATCATGCTCACCCGATCATTTTTATGGAAAAATTTAAGCTCAAAATGGTTAATTTCGCCGATTAACACGACTGACTCAATTCCAAATCCACCTATTCCGGTGATAATTCCACCATTATCAAGAGTTCTGATTCCTTTGTTTCCGATCCCGACTCCGATAACATCATTAGATTCACTCGATTTTGGAGGAATCCAATACTCACCATATTTTCTCATTAGCGGAGATAATCCAAAGAACCATCTCATTAGCGGAGATAATCCAATATAGATGCGAAGAAAAACCTCTGTTTATATATGGCTCTTTGCGCTTGCTGAATTGCATCATCATTATAGAATCTGGTCGAGATGTAACAGTATGGTGAAGTCTTGGATATTGTACTCTGTCACGAAACCGATTTATGGAACTTACGATTCAATGATGCATCAAAAATATGGAAAGATCTAATGGCAAGGTTCCGTATCATTATTTGCCAAGATTTTATCAGTTAACTCAGCGAATCCGGTCTCTTCAACATTCATCAGATCTTTCATCATACTATACATAACTTAAAACTCATTGAGATGATCTTGATGGTTCAAACTGTGTGAAGACTTTTCAGACATGTAATTGCTGCAAAGCAATGTCTACGAAGGCATAGCACACGAAAGTCACTATGTTTTTGGCTGGCCTAAATGATTCTTATTCAAACGTAAGGCGTCATATAATAATGAAGAAACATGTTCCAAATTTTTTAGAGGTGTACAATCTCTCGGATTACGATTTTAATTAGAGAAGAATTGCTCCTCTACAGAATGCAAGTGCCTTTCATGTTGCTTTTACTGAAAACATTATTGGATATATCAATTTAGCGTACAACTCCAAACAATCAAGACCAGTGTGTTCTCACTGCTGTTAAAATTGCATAGTGTTAACAAGTGCTATAAGATACATGGTTATCCACATGAACTTAAACACAAGAAGAATTATAATGATAAGTCTTTAGGTGCTGATAAGCAAAGCAACATGGTGAAACCAGTAGTGGTTCAGCTGGCTATTAATGATTCTACACAGGTTGATGATAATTCTGCAATTCTAATTACTCTCTCGAAGGATTAAATACAGACTGTCATCGGCTATTTTAACACTTAACTTCAACTGAGTCAAGCCAACTATGCTTCAGCATCTACTGGAACCATAACTGCATTACCTGGTATGGCTTTTTCATCCTCCACCATTGGTTTTTTGTTGGAATTTTAAAAGCAACATGAAATGTATTATCTTCCGCATAATAGACAATGGTGCAGCACATCACACGACATAAGACTATTTGAGAGGATATCGGATTCTATGAATAGATCAGTAACTCTTCCTCCATGTCAAAACATCAAAATAAACGACATTCTTCAGATAAGGCTAAATGAGTATCTTTTGTTAACTAATGTCCTCTACATACCTGATTTCTGGTTGAGTTTGCTCATTATAAGGAAACTAACAAAGTATTTGGGATGTCATGTGATGTTTGATCAAAGCTCTTGTCTGATACAAGATCTTATCAAGGGATTGATGATTGGACAAGGTGAAGAAATAGCCAACCTCTATGTTCTAGATGAAGCAGTTAGTATGACCTTGCAAGTTCGATTATATTAATGTCATAGTTGATACTTCCTTATGGAATAATAGACTAGGTCATCCATCTGTTGATATATTTTTTTTTATGAAATAATAGACTAGGTCATCCATCTATGGATAGAATAGACTTGGTCACTAATGTACTTGGAATCAAGCAAAAGAATAAAGGATCGTTTCACTATGTGTCTTTTGGCGAATGAAAAGCATCTGGCATATGTTTCAAACAAAATATTTGTGCTAATGCTTTTGATCTCCTTCACATTGATATCTAGGGACCATTTTCAATACCTACACCTGAAGGATATAAATATTTTCTGACTATTGTAGATAATCATACAAGAGTTACTTGGATATATCTCTTGAGGACAAAATCATAAATTCTTCAAGTGTTCCTGAATTTCTTAACGGTTATAGAGAACCAAGAGCTCATGTTAAAGGTGTCAAATCAGACAATGCTCCAGAATTGATGTTCAGTTATCTGTACACAACATCTCTTATCACTCATGCTCTGAGACCCCTCAACAAAACTTAGTAGTTGAGAAGAAACACCAGCACATTTTCATTGTTGCTCGTTCACTTATGTATATTGTCATCTGTGTTTCTAATCAATAGATTACCAACACCACTTCTGAACAACAAGTCTCCTTTCCAAGTTCTTACTCACCATCAGCCGAACTACAAAGATTTGAGAGTCTTTGGATGTTTAGTATATAACTCTACATCAAGCAAGAATCGCCATAAGTTTCAACCAAGAGCTAAACCTTGTGTCTTTCTTGGCTACCCTGCTGGTTATAAAGGCTACAAGCTCTTGAACTTGGAAACATATAGTATATTAATCTCACGCGATGTTGTGTTTCATGAAGACATCTTTTCATTTCACAACAATGGTGATGATAAGAATGATTTATTTTCCATAGTAAATCTTGCAACTGTAGTTACTCCTTGTGATCATGTAGATATCATCCCTGTAGAGGAGAGGGAATCCCCAGAAGTGGTTAATGGTTCTCATGATAATTTAGATGCCGCCCTGCAGTTGAGAGGGAATCTTCTGCAGTGGTGAATGACATTCTTCCATAGAGTACTGCATCTGCAGACTGGAGTGAATGATAATACGGATACTAACTGAAAGAGAAAGTCTCCAGCCTACTTACATGACTACTATTGTAACTTGACAGAGACATACATTCCTTATCCTCTTGCATTTTATGTTTCTTTGGACAAGTTATATGAAGGGTACAAATCCTATGTTTGTGCAATTGCTCTACATTTTTAGCCATCCTCTTTCACTCAAGCTAAGAAGTTTAATGAATGGCTTCAAACAATGA